TCCCTTAACCAAACCTCTCTCTAAAGCCTTCCTTCCCCCTACCCCTCCTCCGCCCTTCCTATTTCCCGATTAGGTGAAATTCCTGTACTTGCACACATGTGTGCGAGTGCATGTGTGTGTGCATGTGCATGTACGTGTTCTTCCTCTTTTAGCCAGGTCAGATGAGAATAAGGTCCAAGAGTCAATAACTCCCTCCACTCCCTTCTCCGTGTTTGTACAGACGGTTACTTGTGTACCCCGATCACATGACATACCATTCCTTTACCTTCCTTTCCCCTCCCCCTTCTCTCCACCCCACCCAGCACATTCCTCTTCCCTTCTTTTTCCATTCTTCTTTTGAGATCATCAAGTCATGACAAAACCATTCCCAAGCCTCGTCTGATTAGACTTCCTCTATGACCCCCGATGATGACTTTTTCAGGGGGGACATATATGTAAATGTAAGCAGTTTATCCTGGTTTCACCCCTTATCATGGTTCACTCACATTCATCTTCTTATGTTTCTCTTCACTCCTGTGTTTGAACTTCAAAGTATCTCCACAGCTTTGGTCTTTTCCTCAGGAATGCTTGGAAATCTTCTCTTTCATAAAAGGCCCATTTTTGCCCCTGCAGGATTATACTCAATTTTGTAGGGTAGGTTACTCTTGGCTACAAGTCTGTATCCTTTGCTTTCTGGAATATTGTATTCCAAGTTTTCTGAGGCTTTACAGTGATCAATGCTAAGTTTCATGTGATCCTGTGTGTGGCTCTTCCATATTTGAATACTTTCTTTCTGGCTGCCTGCAGTACTTTTTCTTTGACCTGTGAGCTGTGGATTTCAGATGTCATGTTCCTGGAAGTTTTCATTTGGGGTTTCTTTCAGGAAGTGATTCTTTCTATTTCTGGTTCTAAGAGATATGGGCAGTTTTCTTTTAAAATTCTTGAAAGAGGATGGCCAGCCTCTTTTTTAAATCATGGCATTCAGATAGTTCAATGATTCTTAAATATTTTCTCCTCTATCTTTTTCCCAGGTCAGGTGTTTTTCCATTGAGATATTTCACAATTTCTCCTATTTTTTTCAGCCCTTTGACTTTGTGGTTGATACTGTATTAGTTGCATCAAACTCCAAGACACTGCAGTCTCCTGGAGTGATCTACAATGACTCAGAATGAGTCTGGTCCATCTATCCCCACAGAAAAGACCAAAGAGATACAGCCTGTCTATTGCCCATATTCCAATATCCATCAGAATGCCCAAGAGCAGGGGTGGGGAACCTGGGGCTTTGAGGCCACATGTGGCCCTCTAGGTCCTCAAGTGCAGCCCTCTGACTGACTGAATCCGAACTTCACAGAACAAATCCCCTTCATGAAAGGATATGTTCTGTAAAACCTGGACTCAGTCAAAAGGCCACAACCAAGGACCTAGAAGGCCACATGTGGCTTCAAGGTTGCAGGTTTTCACCCCTGCCCAAGAGTATTGCTATCTGGGACAGACGAGAAAGGAGGAAGGGAGGATAGATTGCTTTTGGAAATTTGCAAAGCACTTTGTATGACACTAAAATAAAAGGAAAGATCTGTCTTTTCAATACAAACATCTCCCTGGGGCTGGTGTATGGCAGTGAGACCTGGAATAGCCCTGCCTCCAAGAATTAAAGAGGAACACCAGTGGGCAACTGAGAGACACATGGTGGGCGTAGGCAGGCAGTTTTTCCAAGGAAAAGCTGAAGAATGTCATCAGTGAACCGTATGAGGAAGAACAAACATTCCAGTCCCATGGTGAGCCCATGCAACGACAGGTGGATGGCCCAAGAAGCTACCATTGCAGAGGGCTGCCAGCGCCTGGGGGGGAGGACATGGATGACATCGCCTAAGTTAGGCAGGTCTGGTTGGGTGGTAATCTGCATTGTTAAAGGGAACTCCCAAATCCATGAGATCACAGATCCATCTGAGTATACTTGGAAGCATTAGATGTACCTGAAAATATGTAATTACCCAAAGCCTTGTTCAGATGTCACATCTTTCTTCAAACACCTTTCTTAAACCTTCTGACCACAGACTATACTACTGTCTTTTCCCCAAATTTAGATGAATTAAGAGTTTATCTCCATTTCAATTCTCTACCCTAGAGACTCAATTCCTGCCCACAGACCTGACCTATGAAGCACCAGACTGGGCAATGACAGGCAGTAATCTATGGAGCATGAGAGAGGCTGGTGCCTGGCTTCTTCTCTGGGGGTTATCTCAAGTCTGGTTGAGGATATGAAGAGCAAAGTACGAGGAACCCACACCTCCCACGGGAAGGCTATTGCTGTTTCTGCTATTGTTTAGAAAGCACAAGGAGGAAGAAAGGTAACCAAGCCAAGGGACAGATGTGTTTCTGATCCGAAAATCTAACTTCCATGGATGAGGGTGCTGGAGTACCCAGAGTTCAAAAGGAGTCGAGTGGCCTTCATGGCATCTATCCGACTGTCCACAACAGGACCATCCCGGCTATCTCCTGAGAAGGAGAGGCAGGCACAACATGAGCCACAACACTAAGTCCCCTGACAGTTTAGACTTCAGTCATTCACTCTCTTAATCCTTAGATTTAAAAAAGGGTCGGGACCAAGTACAGCAGCTCCAGCCTTCATACCTACATTGTGAACTTTCCTCTTCTAAATCTCACACACACACACACACACACACACACACAGAGGAAAATGAGGGGCCCTGAGCACTTGCCTAACAGGCTCGCCTCCTGTGGGTGCACGCCTGCCCCTCAGAAGACCAGGGTTTGTTTGAGAGGGCCTCCCTACTGTAACCCGCATACAAAAGGAATAGCCACTAAGACTTGGCCAACAAACGGGCACACAGCCTTGGCACAGCCGTCATGGTTAAGAAATGTTCCTGGACATCAAGCCGACATTTGCCTCTTGGTCGCCTCCTTCTGCCCTCTCAGGCAAACAGAACAAGTCCTAGCCCTCCTCCACAGCAAAGCCCTATGAATACCTAAAGCTCAGCTATCGTGACCAGGAGTCTTCTCTTAACCTCTCTGGACCTCAGTTTCCTAGTCTGTCAGTGATGGTGGTTGGATTAGGGAACCTGGATGGACCCTTCTGGCTCTGAATCCGTAATTCAATGAATGGGTTTAATTCTTATTTTTCCTATGACCATGGCACCAGCTGGCTAAAAGATTTGGTAAAGACACTAATGAGACCAAAGCCTAGTACTCCTCAATTTATAATTTAGGGCTCTTTCCAAAAGGCTAATACATACAGCACATGTAAATATATCCATATAAGCATACTGATATTTGAAAGTTAAAAACAACCTTAAAAACAACCCACTATTCCCCATGTCTTCCCCCAAGCAAACAACAAAGTAACATGTTCGGCTAGTATAAAGACCTCAGATATAAAAGGGTTTATTTTTAGTACTGAAATAAGATTAGGGCCCAGAGATCTAAGGGATAGAGGGAAGGGAAGAGATCTTCAGTATGAAGCAGGTTAAACAGCCTAATGATAAGCCCTGTTTTTAGAAAAGCTTAATCTTCAGAAGAGCTATATAGTTACTGATAGCTATACAACCATTCTGGAAAACAATTTGGAACTATGCCTGAAAAGCTATTAAACTGTGCAGACCTTTTGACTCAGTGGCACCACTTCTCGGTCTACAGCCTAAAGAGATTAAAGAAAGAGGAAAAGAACCCATATGGACAAAAATATTTATAGCAGCTCTGATGTCAAAGAACTATAAACAGATTAATGGGGGGGTTCCCATTAATTGGGTATTGACTGAATTAAGTTATGGAATCATATCCCATCCATATGAGACTGAATACTATTGTGCTGTAAGAAGGAGGATGAAGGAGATGGTTTCAGAGAAACCTGGGAAGACCTTTATGAACTGATGCAGAGGGAGGTTAGCAGAACCAGAAGAGCAATTTGCATAAAAACAAATAAATAAACGGAGAAACTCAGAGTATAGACTGAAACTTTTTTTGGACATGACCCATGTGTGACAAGATCACAACACAAGGAGGAGCCCATTATTTCATATTTACTTAGTGCTCATGATATTAAATGTAGTGTGACAGACACTGGGAAGATGCAAAGATAAATAAGATATGGCCCTACCCTCATGGAACTTCTAATCTAGTAGCAGAGGGTGCAGTGAATAGAGCACTTGTCCTAGAGTCAGAAAGACCAAAGTTCGAATTTGGCCTCAGGCTTTTACCAGCTGTGTGACCCTGCACAAGTCACTTAACCTCAGTCTGGCCTGTTTCCTCATCTGAAAAATGGGAAAAACCATCGCACTCACTTTCCAGGGTTGTTGTGAAATTAAACTGAGATAACATATAAGAGAACTCTCAAACCTTAAAGTACTATATAAATGCTAGCTACTATCATTACTGCTATTACTACTAAGACATGACACTTACAAAATCATCTACAATACAAATTATTACCACGAGACAAATAATAAAGTAAAAACCCCATTACTTAAATTCACTATAAAATGAAGTGCCTATAGTGATTCAGATTTGTGATTATTCAGATAAGAGACTGGGCTGAAATCTGTCCTTTTGGTTGAATATACAGAGATGGTTTGCTGACAGTATGAAAAGGGTGGGGGGGGGTTGGCGGGGGGAAGCCCTTAAACTGAAGGCTAAATTCTTTTTAGGCACTTCAGAAGTACCAATTTACTGAGCGATGTGATAACTAAAATTCCTATTCATCTACCATTACTGACCTCTATCAGGAAATAGATGATTAGCCTAGTTCTAACCATCTAGTTAGCTGGGGTGTATCAGAATGTAATCGAACAGCATTTCATGAATATTTGTCAACCTGATTTTCCAAAAGGCCTTCTCAATGAACACCTATTAGTCCGGGGCTTTGCTTCCTCATGTCTACTTAGATTTCTTCTACTAACCAAGTCCCTGGCTCAGAAAAAACTTTCTTAAGGAATTTCCCACACTTGCCTTGACTACATACAAACATCTCTGTTCAGGGGAATCATCAGCCCCACCTGGTGCCTCACCTTTTCGATCGCTGTATCATTTCCTTCTTGGTTATTGTCCTGTTCCTCAGAGTCATGTAACCTAGGCAAAGGGACACATGTTCTTAGTCAAAAGTGGTTTCATGACAATAGTTTCCAAACTTTTTACCCAACTCCCAAAATTCCAAAAGCAATGTCCCCCAGGCAAGGCTGGCTTGATACTGGGAAAGAGAAGGCATGCTGTTCAGAGATCACATGGAGAGTATCGGAAAAATGGAACCGGCCCTCATTCCACACTACCTGGAGCTACAAGATTTCATCTGGGTCTTACTGTCACTAACAGACAACTGGGGAAAGCATTTGACTAAATTATGTGAAGCCTTTTCTGACAAATCCCTGACCAAGAGAGATCACACATATAAATAACGCATTACGTCCCACTCCAGTCCATCCTCCTCCGCTCTGTGGTCAAAGTGGTCTGACCCCATCACTGCTTCATTCAGTAGATCCCAGGGTCAAATACCTCATCTCATTTGTAGAACGTGGCCCCTTCCTACCTCTCCAGGCCCCATATGCCTGGTTCTCCTTCCCATCCTCTGTGACCCAGTGACACCAGCTTCATGCTGCTTGCACTCCTTCTCCCACAATGAGAACTCTCCCCCAGCTTCTGCAGGAAGACTTTCCCACCCTCCTCAATCTTTGTGCCTTTGCCCTGAGGTCACCTCCAGTGTCTTCTAGCTACGTCTAGTGTGTTCACAGTTGTTTGCATGCTGTCCTCATTACTCTGCTTTTTGCCTTCCTTTGTACCCCAAGTTGGCACACAGCAGTGCTGTATCAGAGGGAGGGATCACTCTCACTAACTTCACAATGACTTCAGCTCCACTACACAGGCTCTCCTAGTACAAGGCACCAAGCTATGCAGGATGGGAGATAAATAAATATGGCCCTCATTTTCAGACTGCCTAACCCAACAGGAGCGCACAATTACATACATTGCTGAAATCCAAAGGAGGGTGGGAGGAGCATCTTTATGCATGCCACAAAGGGTTAGTGACTCAATGGTTCCTGCTCTCTGGACAGACGGTTGGAGAATCTGAGCTTTTATCTCTGCTAGGAACCTCAGGGATGGAGGCAAGCTGGATGGGCCCCGGGAAGGGGAACAAATGAGGGCTCAGACTTTTTCTCTATTTCCTCCATAGACCTTTAAGCTCCCAGAGCTTAATGACCAACTACTCAACTCCTTTTTCAGCCCCCAATGTCCCTAACATGGTGTACTCCATAAAAACATACACTGACTCGAACAAAACAACTTTCAAATGAGGTACATTTGTCCCCAGCAGTGTATTTTCCATGGCTCTTTGAATGGTCTTAAAAATAACCAACCATGAATGCCTCCCTCACAGTGTCCATGCTGAGACAGGCAGAGAAGAGAGAGTGGAAGGA